CGTACCCGCTGAGGACTCTCACCCTGTCCTACAACATGCTTTGACTTCAGACAGGTTTCTGACAGACCTGTCTTTGAATGTCAAAGCATTCTTGATACTGTAACCCTGTGCTAACTCATTTTTTGATTCTGGCATTCAATACTCCACTGATAAAGGTTAAAAAAAAAAAAAAATCCAAATATTTCTACAATATTATAGATTTTTCCACTTGGTTGATGACCCAGGTCACTGCTAACTGGAGATATTTTATGACAAATAGCAGTGAAATGCTTTCCCTAAAGCTTCAAGTTACTTCAGGAGACAAAAAAAGCCCTGTAAACTTTATTCTAGGTACAGCCATTCCTGTTTCTCCAGGTATCACTTGGTAAAGCATACCTGGTATTCATCCAGGTGTCACTTGGCTAAAGCATTGACCTTTCTTGAAACTTAAGAGGATCTGTGATCCTAATGCACTTACCCCTCATCCTGTCACTACAAACCCTTGTGAACAGTCCCTCCCCTGCTTTCCTGTAGGTCCCTCTCAGGTACTGTGAGATTGCTATAGGGCCCCCCCCGAGCCTCCTCTTCTCCAGGCTGAACAGCCCCAAATCCCTCAGCCTGTCCTCAAAGCAGAGCTGCTCCAGCCCTCTGATCATTTTTGTGGCTCTCCACTGGACACGTTCCAAAAGGTCCAGGTCCACATCCTTCTGTTTTTCTACCGATGACCTCCCTACTGTAATGTCAAAAACCAGATAAATTCTGTTGGAGACTTTAGAAAATGCGATTTTATCAAAGTTGGAAGTAATATTAATTTTTTTTTTTTATAAGTAGAGAGCACTTTTGTGACAGATCTCTCAGCTGTTGTGTTTTTATTTCATATCTTAGATGAATTCAGTTATGATTTGTCTTTCTCTAGTCCCAGTGGACCCCAGTCTCATCATTGTTGTGCAGGCGAAGGAGGACGCGTACATTCCTCGGACCGGGGTGCGCAGTCTGCAGGAGATCTGGCCCGGCTGTGAAGTCAGGTACCTGGATGGAGGTCATATCAGTGCCTACCTCTTCAAACAAGGACTCTTTAGGTAAGGTGGACAGGAAAGTTGAAAAATAGTTCAGAGCATATAACCATAATTTTGAGGTGTATGATATTTCTCCTAAAAAGAGGTTTTTGATTACTCTAAAGCAGCAAATACCAAATACTGCTTTGTATTGAACAAGGTATTAGATCTGAAATCACTGAAGGAGGATGTCAGCATTTCCATTTTATGAATGGAAAAGATGAACTGCAATATAGCTCACACCGCTCAGTAAGCCAATGGCAAGAGAATGACCCTTCTCACTCATTTTCCTGTAAGAGCTTCTAGTTAAACACCAGACAATATTGTTAAAATGATGACTCTCTGTGCTTTATTGCACAGCTGTTGTCTTTTTGCAGATGTTGTCTTCTGAGAATTAAATACCCCACATGGTTAAAGATGAAAATTAAAATACAAGTTTGACTGCAAATGAACAGTACTTGTATTAGTTCTTGATCTAGTAATATTAGACATTGACTTTCTGAAGACAGTTATATAAATAAGTTATATAAATGCTGTTCCTTAGTTTTAAAAGGTTAAATACTTGTGCTGTTAATTTTAAAATATGAGGAATTAGTAAGACTGTACATCCCATTTAGGAAGTCCAAGCAATGACAAAAAGCAAGAGCAAGAGACAGGGTTAGGGTGTACCAACCACCAACTTATTGCTACTTAAAACTTCAGCCTCATTTTATGACAGTTGCTCAAAAATTATAAACTCTGCATGTCTCTTTCACCTGTTTCCTGACATGTTTGAATAGAAAACTCCTAATCCATTAACATTTCCACTGGTATTAAAGATGGCATGGCAAACAATCCCACTCATTCCTGAAACATCCATATACTACTGAAGTGAGAGATCTCAGAAGTAGGTCAAGGAGAAAAGACTACCTAATACCACATTTTTAATGAATGCTGCCTTGAAATTGTGATGATAGCATTGTAAATGTATGGAAATATGCCACTTAGGTCTGCGCTTTGCTGAATAATGCAAATTATCTCTTTTTCCTTCTAGACAAGCGATTTACGATGCATTTGACCGCTTCCTTCAGAAATATGCAGTTTAAAAATCTTCATAATGTGCTCAAACTGATCTCATTTGTACTTCTTCTTACTGGAACTCATATTTGGGAAACAAACCTCTTGCAACACTGAGTAGACCATCACCAACTTGAACTGTTATGGGTAACAATTGTCAAAAATGGTTAACTACCAGTGCTACTTCCATTTCAACCAGATGCCATTCTGACACACTGGCTTCAGCTTCACCTCTGGACAGTGAGAGCGTTGGTTAGTGCATGAATGGTTCATGTACTCCACATTTAACCATGTCATTTATGCCTTCAGTTCTGAATAAATTGTGTCTCAGCTGAAAACAGACCAATCGAAGTATTGGGAGAATGTAACCTTTGCTGTAGGGCTAAGATGTTCCCTTGCCTTTAGTGTGTTTCTAGTCCGTTCCAAACATAATGGTTTCCTCTTGCTTCCTCGTCCCCTTGCTGCTGCTATTGTGTTGTACTGTGGCTTTGCCAACGCTCAGCTTCTTGGGTTTGTCACTGATTTTCTCTATTATGAATTGGAAATGAGCTAAAATAGAAGGGGCAGCATCAATTCTTGCAAAAGGAGACATTTTCATTCATTGCATCTGTGAGATTTTTCTGCCACTGCATTGAACCATTCCAGAAGAATCGTGTAGCAATTAATTGATTAGTCTCACAAAGCTGAAATAAGGGAAAAGAGAGTGTCTAGTAAACTGTTTACATGCCGTCAGGTGGATAACAAACTTTTCCTTCTAGACTTTTTTTTTAAGAATGCTGGAGGAATTAAATGTAATAATTTTTCTTTAGAAGCAGTGGCACAGAGCGTATGACTCTAAGCAGTTAATTCAACAGCCGATTATATGGTGCTATAAAGACCTGTTGGAACTACTTCAACAGAGGTCCTTTTTAATGTGAACTCTGCTAGTAGGCAAATTAGTTTCACTGTATAATATTGAAAATATATGTGAGTCTAAGGATTATCAAAGTAGTTAGGTTAGCTCCTTAATTTTCCATCCAATTAATACAGTGTTGAGGAAAAAAAAAAAAATTATTCATGCATTTAAGAAAATCCAAAATCTGTTTTTTCCTCTTTTGGGATCAAAAACGCCAACAAATTACAGTAAGATAAAAGGTTGTCGTGCATCATCTGTGTATGGGATCTGTCCACATCTGATTTTGAAGTAATCTCCTGTAACATTCTTTCAACAATAGTTTGCAGACAAGTTGAAAACTGAAACATTTCAATATTAATTTTTGTAGCGTGTTGACCAGAGATACACAGAAAACAAGAAAAATCCATCTGCTTGTCAGGATATGTGATTTCTAAACCTTTCCAATCAGGCACTTTATTCAGCTCCATGGTTAACATAATGGTTTTTAATAGGCAGAGTATTAAGCAGACAAAGCTCAGTTTATATAAGTATATTCTGGGGAATTTTGGTCTGCTAGTAACTGGGAAGAAATCATGGTTCACTTGACTATCCAGATAAGTTCAGGTAAAACTCAAGTGCAACAATTTGTAATAACCTAAATTATTTAACATTCACATTTACTCAAAATGCAAAAGAAGTTATAACCTGTTGGAAGTTAAATCACTTATTTCAGGTGATTTTTCATCATTTATTTAGACAATGTTGACTTTATACATGTATTGGTGCAAGTATGAAGCGACTAGCACATTTAAATACAGTGAAACACTGAATGTTGCAAGGTTTGAAATCAAATACAAGTAAGCTTACAGGTGTAAAACTGAAGGCTTGAACACTGTACTGAAAGATTTATGGGGTTTATGGTTTGCAAGCTCATTCATCAGCAGTGTTTTACAAGACCATTGTATGCTCTTCACCAGCATTGTAGATCTCACGTTTAAAATGTACCTGTGTATTTTAAGTCCTGTTTCTGTTGCAGCTCTGAGAAAATGAGATAACTGGTGGCGAGGGAAAGGGCTTGAATAGATGGACAAGAGAAGAGACAGATTTTGTAAGGCAGAGAATAAGCGCAAAAAAATCAACTCCTCTGTGCTACAAAGTGTAGCATGCCAAAGTCAATATTTTCAAAGCGCACAATACTAGGAATTACACAGCTGGTGGGAACTTGACATCCTGAGGTTAGTGTTCTGATGGTATTATTAACAAGGTTTAACTTGCCAAAAGGGCATACTATTCACAGGAGCAGATTTATGCCGATGCAACTTCTGTTTGTGAGAGTGTCGTTTGGGATAAGTAGCAAAAGGCTGGTCTGTGACAAGAATGAGAAATGACACTTGGCTGTGTAACTGAAGTCATGCTGCCAGATACAGAAGCTCAGTAAGAACCATTTAAAATTTTCATATTACAATGACTAAAAGGAAAATTGAGCTCTGTGATCTGTTTGTGCCAGTTACCAGACACAGGAGGCTATTAGCTGCTTTATGAAGGGGGTACTCTTGCTGTGTAAATGTTTTTAACCTTTGGAAAACTGACCTTTTTAAAACCAGATTTTAAGGTTAAATCCTAAGAAAGCATTATTAATAATCCATTTTGATGTTAAATGAGAATGTAATTTTAATCCAGCAATTGCATGTGATAAATATCAGAATAGGGCACCTGCACTAAATCCAAACAGCAGGTAAGCCGTTCTGTGTGTCTTAAATGTACTGTAAAACTGGCCTTGATCAATTTTTGGTTTTAATATTTTTCAATAAAAATCCTAAAAAAAAATTAGTTGTGTGGGTTTTTTTTGTTAACAGGAATTCAGAATGCATCTCCCTGTCATCCTGTGATCCCTTTTATTCCTACTAGTACTGCAGCACAAGATGAGTAGTTAATCTACAGTGCAAGATAAAAGCTTCACATCACACAATGATACTGCTTTCATGTTTTTCTACATGCAATGCTTAGTAAAGAAAATAAGCGTGTATCAGCTAACTAAGATACCATTGTGATTCCAGTGTTGTACTTTTCAGCAACTTCGTTGTGCAAGAATTTCCTGGAATGATTTTAAATCCCTTCTTCTTTTAAAAGGGTCCTAAATCTGTACTACTTCTGCTTGCTGCTGTGTTTTGAGCAGAGGTGTGTTGTTGTACCATAATAAACTGAGAGCATGTTGTTGGACTATCCAGCAGTAGCAGAATAAATCAGCCTCACTGGCGATGGTTGCTCTTGTAAGGTGGGGAGGTGGCAGTAGGGTTTTGGAGCCCTGCTGCCAGGAGGAGAGGAGGCTGTTCCATCACCTCTCGTAGGAATGAGGATAGCACACGCCAGCAGAAGAGCTGCTTTGGGCAGATGTTCTGTTACTAGCAGGTGCATCTTTGAGTCTTGCTGATGTTTATATGCAAAACAAACAAAAGTGTTGGAAAACTGTGGCTTACTCTGTGGAATTGGAGCAAGTCACCCTGACTGAAGTCTGCCAGTCGTACCCAGCAACCAAAGGCACAATCAATTTTATTTTGGTGCTTAAGTTACACCAGGTGAATAGTGAAGGCCATGGTCACACCTCTGCATACTAAAACTGACAAAACAGGAGGAGAACAGACAGAGGGGAGTGTTTTGTCTCCATTTGAAAGGAAGGACTCGGGTAACACCACACCAGACCTAACTTCTCACTCTGTCCCATGAGTAACCTAGATAATAGCTTCTAGTGTTGTTTACACATTTCTCTTCTGGCACCTAAGTGCTGATCCCTTTAGAGAACAGAAAACATGTAATCATCATCACATGGAGCTTTTTGTAAATTTTTTATTCCCCCCCAGGTCCAAAAAGCATCTCCCTCAAAAGTGACCCTTCAGCAATTTTAAATTTTTTTTTTAGCAAGATCACTTGTACTGTGTTACTCTGGGAAGTCTGCAAAAAGGTACCGTTATATGAAGGAATGTAGTCTTGTTGCTTTTTCTTTCTGGAATGTCATGTGCATGTGTAGACATAGTCTTTAAGCAGTAGATTAGGAAGTGAAAATCCTTGAAATGCTATATACTTGGTAACTGCTAACATTTTGAGAGAGCTATATAGTTATATATTAAAAATATATATGACATATATGAATTTTTAAAAAAATTATCTTTGGTCTTGTGTTGCTTTTAAAAAAATGTTGACCTTAATTACGGTTGGTTGGGCAGGGAAGTTTCTTTATCTTAAGCTGTCAGGTTCTCTGTCAGCTTGTCTGTAATGATAAGTTGTACAGCATTGAGAGGAGGTTCTGTAGGCATGTAATTCCTCATAAAAAGCTATTACAAGAGTAAAATGCTTTTACATTATGCAATCCTGTCATTTGCACTGTTTCCTGGCACGCTTGGGTGCTTGTGTACAAGATAAAACGTAAGGCTTAAAACTTAAAGTAGCTCCTAATGATTCTTATCCTCTTCCTTTCACATAGTATAAATCAGCTGCTTTATCAAATAGAGTGTTTTAAATACTGTGCTCCCAGAGGAAGTACTGCGAGTTTGGCCAAGGGAGTCGGACTGGTCCTGCTAGAAAGTATCCAGAGGGATGATACAAAATGGATGAAGAGTTAAGGATGAGTCTTGTGGGACTGTAAAAGTCTTTATCTACTCTTCAGGCTCAGCCCATCCAGTGAAGTACGGAGTAAGCTGCCTACTACCATAAAGTTACCAAAAAAAAAGCATATACACAAATTTCTCAAGCTGCCACATTACTAGTTCACATAGGAAACTGATTAAGAGTTAACTGCTTTTTTCCTGGTCTGTTCAGGTTCCTGAAGTCCTGACTGGCCTGCACATCTACTTCCTTATCTTCTAATACTTGTATGAGAGAGAGAGAGGAAAACAGGAGATTAATCCCCCTCTTGCCAGAGACTTAGGTAGGGCTTCCAAACTTTTGTATCATTCTAGCCTGTACTAACTTCTGGGTTTTATTTGGATGTGAAAATTGTTTTGAACAGGTTGTGTGACTGATACTCCTGTTTTCAGGAGAGTAAATGTAAACATGCACAGATATTGGCTTCTTTCCCAGTCAGAATTATTCACTAGAAATGCTTTCCTCAATTGCAAATAAATTTGTCACTGCAGTACTCAGTTGGTATGTCTTTGATTG